CGCCCCCCTTCATCAAGGGGGCCCCGTCAGCGATCCCTGCAGGGGGGCCTCCGCATTTTGCGCTACGCCACTGGACCCTCTCCTAGGCATCAGTGCATGAAACCCCTCAAACAGACATTTATAGAGCCAAAAACTTACAAATCCACAATACTTTATAGTCTTAATTACAGCTCTAGCTCTGCTTCATCTGGAGATGTGAGTGTTTATTACTGCTCTACTAGTAAGTTTAGCAGAGGAATCTGTCATTTGGATCTGTCGCCTGTCCTGTATGTGCAGTCGGTCAGCACTTGTACAGGGGTTTGGTGCTTTAGATGCATATTTTTCTACACATTAACACAATATCTATATCCTTATGTACCGTAGGCCAGCTAGTAAGTGCTGTGCAGGTAAACCTCACTCCTCTGACCTCTAAAGGTGCTCTAGTGACAGATGCTAGGGAATATGATCTTTAGCCTCCTTGGTAGAGCAACCGACTCCCATACGGAAGGTTGCTGGTTCGATACCAGCTCGGAGTGGGTTGGGTGGTGTAGGACTGGCGGGGTTACACTTACACAGAATATTTCCAGATAGTCAGAATCCACTGTCATAAATTAACCTTAGCCGATGTTAGCTACACTAAAAAATGTTTTATTTTTTTGCTCATTCAAGCTGCTTAATTAAAATGAGCGGAATCAACACAAATCTTGAGATTTCCTTCGGACAACTTAATTTTTTATGTTCAATCCACATAAACTTGTTAAAAGTGTTCAGTTAACTTAATCTGTGTTGGGACAACATGAATGAATTGTGTGGAACCCTGCATTTTTTACAGTGCAGGTGTATTAAAACACTGTAAATTTGCTCAGAAATGACTGAAAATGTCTTTAATCAAGTTTGTTTGATTTTGGAGTTCTGCTGTGTTTTGGTAGTCATGTCAGAGCATTACCTCAATCAGCAGGTCAACATGTGTGTAATGTGACATATATAAACTGGCCTTTCCTAAAGCTGTGATCTCACTCTTGAGGTTTAGCTCTGTTGTTCTGCTGACTGTGGGAACTCAGTTAGTTTGACCACACACTGGTCTAACACACCTTCAGCAGTGAATCATTCTTCCTGTACAGGTCATTTCTCAGGTACTGCAGCAAACTAAACTCCTGCATGTGTTCAATGGTCTTCTCAATGTAAACTCCTGATGCAGGGATTTCTGAGAACGGGGATGAGAAATATTAGCATTCAGCATTAAACTATCTCTGTGTCTCTGAGCTGATCCCGACTGCTAGGGGACCTAAGTAGAGCACTGAGAAGGGGCCGCTGTCAGCGCAATAAAGGCCACCTATGCAAAATCAATTTTAGAATAACATTAGACAGAAATGTGTGTAGTACAGTGATAAACAGTCTCTTTTTTAAATTCTCCTGGCTTTAAAATAGGATTCAATTCCCAGCAATTCTGAAGCCTGCTGTAATGTACCATAGCAGTTCAATTTCCCATCCCACTAATACTGATGGACATGCACATATTTCCCTGTCTCAGTATTAACACACACTAATGTAAACACAAAACAGGATTTGCTGAGAAACTGGGATTAAAGATCTGTTCATCTCTCTGGGATCCAGCTGCACTTCTAGAAGCAGTAAGTGCTGCACTTTGTGTTTTACAGCATTTTAAATATATATTTGATCTGTATAATTCAGAACCACTGGAATCACCACAGCTGTGTTTGGTGGACTTCATGTCATATTTGCCTCAAGTTGAGCAAAAACACATTCAAAAGTGTTCAGAGTTCAGTGTAATGTAAAGGTCACTGCTGAAATACAAAACACTGAAGAGCAAATCCACCAATGCACAGCTCCACAAGTCCCAAACCATACAAGCAAGCCAGTGACAACAGATGAGAAGCAAACTTCACCAACTGACCAAAGTGAAGGAAAAAGCCTCAAGAGAATCCAGACTCAGTTGGGCTTCAGTTCACCTCTGGCCAAACTCCATCACCACCACAGCATCTGCTCAGGATACAGCCTAATCCAGTAATATAGAGATGGAGGATGAGGAGAAACACACTAACATAAGGGCAGATGCCATTCAAATTATAATGTGTTTTTGGGAAGAGCTCCTGGCATTAATGCAGCCTAACATTCATTTAGAGGATTTAGACTTCAACAGTTCTGTGTTTGTGTTTTATGTGTTCGCTAATGCAGAGAGATGTGTCCAAATACTGTCATAATAAAGGCAAAACTGACAGAAATAAATAATTCTGACAGACAGACAGAGAGACGGATGGACAGACAGACAGACAGACAGACAGACAGAGAGACGGATGGACAGAGTCTGGGAACAGCATCAGTTCTGGTGTTTCAGGTCAGTGATCTCACTCTTGAGGTTTACACCTGTTGTTCTGTGACTGTGGGAACTCAGTTAGTTTGACCACACTGGTTTAGCAGACAGATTCATCATGCTTAATTTATCTCTGATATCATCAATCCTCCATGAAAGGAAGTTTATAAACTCATTAAAGTGGTGTTGAGAAACACTTACTGATGCTTTATCTTTAGTCAGATTGTCCTCTGATCACACGAGCCTAAAACTGGGTTTGTTTTCTGATACTGGAGTTTAAATAAGCAGATCTTAAAAGACTTTAAAGCTTTTCTAAAGTCAAGTTTACTTTTTCTACAGGCAAAACAAAGAAATATGTACACACACACTCACACACACACACACACACACACACACACACACACACACACACACACACACACACACACACACACACACACATCATACATTTATATGTGCCATGGTGTCAGATTTTCCCCTAATCTTTTTGAAATGTTAAAGAGCAACTGTGTCTAATGTGCTAAAAAGGACAGAGTTAATAGTTTCAGTTGCAGTGTCAAGCTCTTCTGGGATATCTGGAACACTGTGGAAATGAGAAAGATCAGGTAGATCACTGACAAAGTAATCTTTAGTGCTAGCGGTAATCGTTCACCATATTTATAAATAGTAGATGGTATTTGTCGACCTATTAATGCATAATAAACAAGAGATTAAACAGAGATCTGAGATGTCATCACTCTGCTGCACAACTTCAGCATGATCAATATTCATACCATGTGATAATATCAGGTCTAAGCTATGATTATGTCGATGAGTAGGCCCTGAGACATGCTGTTTCCCTCCAACAGAGGCTAGTATGTCTAGGAAGAACAGACTTCAAGCATCTTGTTCATTATCTATATGAATATTAAAATCGCCAACAATTAAAACTTTATCTGTGGCCAGAACCATTTCAGATAAGAAATCAGCTAATTCTTCTGTAAAGTCTGCATCGTGCCCTGGAGGCTTATATACAGTTGCCCATATACATTTAGATTGAAATGTTTTGTTGACATTGTACACTGAACATACAACACTATTGCTTCATAGACATTGTATTTGAAGCCAGATCGCTGAGTGACTATAAAACTATTACTATATATTGTACCAACGCCTCCACCATTGCCTTTAAAACACAAGGCTCATGTTTATGTCTCTTATGTGCCTGTTTAAGGCCCTTCGTCATGTAAACTATCTGGATGCAATAATTTACAAGGCCGCTCTGCCTACTCTATGTATGCATGTATGTATGTACTGTATGTATTTATTTATTTATTTATTATTATTTTATTTATTTATTTATTTTTTTATGGAGAGCTTGATAATTTAAAGTTAAGCCCATGAGGTAGACAAATCACAATGGGGTTGTTTTATCTCATAATCCATAGAAGGAGGTTAAACTTCTTAATTTTCACAGTCATTTTTGATTGTATTGACAAAAATAACACAAATTTGAAAACTGTATAGAGTTTATTTTTTTATTTGTATGTATTCATAATTACAGACAGAAAAGGCTTTCTCTTTCAATGTCTTCTGTCAACATGACTGGCAGATGCTTAAAAAAAACAGCTCAATCTCAGTCAAAATTTACCTCAGACATGAGACATTCCTATATAAAGCCTGAAATGAGCACTTTTAAATAAGCAAACTCTTTTTGAAAGCAAACATTGTCTGGCTTAATAATCCGTATGGAAAAACACAATGCAGAATTTTCCATCTAATAATAATAATAATTTTTCAACACTAATAATGAAGACAGACGCCTGAACTCATAAACGCCCACAAATAAACACAGCAGCGCTGGCTAGAAACAAGATTCAATAACACTTAAAATGTTCATTAAACAGGTCATTAAACCTTTATAACTATGACATGACAAATTGGTGGGGGTGGACGGTCATGGGAGGGCTTGGAGCGAACAACGAACCACATAATTTACAATTAACTAAATGAAACCAAGTAAAAAAACAAATGATAGCATACATAAAATCTCTGAAAGCGGCAAACATCTGCACTTCAGTGTTGAGTTTTTCCATAATAGCTCTGACTTCTAGACTGAATATCTGTAAATGAAGATATGAAGAGTTTCTGTCATGTATGTACACACTGCTGTAATGACAGTCAAATATATAAAGATTAATGTGTGTGGAAATGAGCTTTATTCAGACGGTTGGTGAAGTGTGTGATTTGAGGGTAAAGATGTCTAAATCTCCTTCAGTCGGTGGACACTGATGAACAGACAGTGAAGGAGATCAGATCTACTCACTTCATTCTCTTCCACATGTGTTCTGCTGGAGTCTCTGAAAACACCACAGACGTCAGCAGCTAAACAGAACAACACACGAGACACGATATGAGACGTGATCAACAACTTGAGAAACATGCTAATATGATCAAATATGCAAAACATATTAGAAACTTAGTCTTAGCAATGGGCTAACAACAACAACAACAACAACAACATGTTATCAACTTCCAAACAGATGTTGACCACATGCTAAAGCATACTGGAAACATGTTAAATAGTGTTGACAAACTAAAATATGACATAAAACACAGAAGAAACACACTACCAACATGAATCATGCTAACTGTAATGAGGGGTGTATAGACAGAGGTAAAAGTTCCAAGCGCAGCTTTATTTATTTAAAGGATGATCATACAGGTAGGGTTAACACTAGGAGCAAAACAGTAGCAAAAGGGGTAATAAACTAATCAAAACCCAAAGAACAGGCAAGGGTCAGGGCAGACAGCACACACTCAAAATAATCCAACAAAACACAGTCCAATAAAAAAAAAACAAGAACAGCAAGAACAGGAACAAGCTGTGTGTGTGATTAAAGTTGATGAATCTTAGGTGTGAGGTGCTGAGGATTCTGGGTAGATTCTGGGATTCAATGTGTAGTCCAGTTCAGTGTGTCTGGTAGGGACCAGGTGACTCGGTGGCCACCTCCACCCTTCCCCCGTCTTCTCCATACCTGCACTTTAGTTCAGTGAAGATGATGTGCACCAGGTTTCCAAAAGCAGAAGAGGAAAAAAGCACCAGGCCCATACTTTATAACACCAGCCTGTTTAAAATCCTATGCTGACCAGCTGCCCCCCATCTTCACCCTGATCTTCAACAGATCACTGGAGCTGTGTGAAGTGCCCTCCTGCCTCAAACACTCCACCATCATCCCCGTCCCCAAGAAACCCAAACTTACAGGACTAAATGACTACAGATCGGTGGCGCTGACATCCGTGGTCATGAAGTCTTTTGAAAAACTGGTGCTGGCCCACCTGAAGGACATCACTGAACCCTCACTGGACTCTCTTCAGTTTGCCTACAGAGTAAACAGGTCTGTGGATGATGCAGTCAATATGGGACTGCATTATGCTCTGCAACACCTAGACAGACCAGGGACCTATGTGAGGATCTTGTTTGTTGACTTCTGCTCGGCTTTTAACTCGACTGTCAAAAATAAAGCTTTAACAACATACATTATTTTTGCTGTTATTTGCGTTATTTATTTAACACATTTCACGCATGCGCAGTGTGACGAATTAATTAGGGAGCTAGAGGTAAGATGGAGCAATGTAAGTATGATGGGCCTATGGACAGATTCAAATATAAAAAGAAAGCTGATGGTACAGTTGACAAGTTCAAGGTTTTTTGCAAGATTTGTAACAAGGAGTTTTAAATTCACTGGAGCTGTTCAAGCTTGAAGTACCATGTCAACGCCACACATGCGTTTGCTGGGTCGTCAAGTTCAGCAGGTGATTTGCACCAGACCACGCTGAAATTTTGCAGGCCATTATCAAAATCAACCTCAGATAATTTGATCGACACAATAGCAAAATTGATTGCAAAGGACTGTACACCCATTAGCATTGTAGAAGACTCGGGTTTCATGGATGTTTTCCAAGTGGTGTCTCAAGACTCATCCTATAAGCCACCATCAAGGGCCAAAGTTACGATGAAAATCCACGGGCTCTATGAAAGCGAAAAAGAAAAAAGGAAAGAGGTCTTGGCTCAAGTAAATTATATCGCCCTGACAGGAGACCATTGGACATCAGTGAGTAACAACAATTACCTTGGAGTAACTGCACATTACATCAGTGACAAGTGGGAACTGAAGTCTACTGCAGTGACTATATTAAAAACTGAGGAGCGTCATTTTGCGGAGGCTTGTAAAGAACAGTTCCTGTCTGTTGCACGTAAGTGGGACATCGAGGGAAAAACAACAACCATTGGGACTGACAGTGCACGCAACATGGTTGCTGCAATTTGACTTACAGGCTATGAACACATGAACTGTGTCGCTCACATGCTACAGAGATGTGTCACAGTGAGTCTTGCTGACAGCGGCTTTGCGTATGCTTGTCAATGCTTGCAAAGTTTTTGGTCATTTTAACCACAGCCCACAAATGCTGCGAAGCTTCAAGCACAACAAGTCAGCCTGGGAAAGAAGGAAGATTCATTGGTCCAGGATTTTCCAACATGTTGAAATTCGACGCTGGAAATGGTCAAGCGCTTGAGCTGCAATAAAGAGGCTGTCATCGCAGCCCAGGACAATCAGGAGCACAAACTCGTTTTGCCGACCACAGCAGAATGGGATAAACTGCAGAGGCTGAAGACACTTCTAGAGCCATGCAGTTAAATCAGTCTGTAGCCTATCAAATAACTTTATTTAGATTATTTTAATAAAAATATGCATTCATTCATTCATTCATTCATTCATTCATTCATTCATCTTCTGCCACTTTTCTGGGGCCAGGTCGCGGGGGCAGCAGTCTTAGGAGAGAACCCCAGACTTCCCTACCCCCAGACACTTCCTCCAGCTCCTCCGGGGGGATCCAGAGGCGTTCCCAGGCCAGCCGAGAGACATAGTCCCTCCAGTGTGTCCTGGGTCTTCCCCAAGGCCGCCTCCCGGTAGGACATGCCTGGAACACCTCCTTAGGCAAGCGTCCATGAGGCATCCGAAACAGATGCCCGAGCCACCTCAGCTGACTCCTCTCCATGTAGAGGAGCAGCAGCTCTACTCCGAGCTCCTCCCGGGTGTCAGAGCTCCTCATTCTATCCAAAAGAGTGCGCCCTGCAAACCTGTGAAAGAAGACTCATTTTGGCCACTTGTATTCGAGATCTTGTCCTTTGGTGAGAGTAGGAATGTAGATTGACCGGTAAATCGAGAGCTTTGGCTTTCAGCTCAGCTCCTTCTACACCACAACGGACCGGTACATTGACCACATTACAGCTGCCGCTTCACCAATCCGCCTGTCAATCTCCCGCTCCATTCTTCCCTCACTCGTGAACAAAACCCCAAGATACTTAAACTCCTCCACCTGGGGTAAGGACTTTCCTCCAACCTGGAGATGGCAAACCACCTTTTTCTGGTGGAGCACCATGGCCTCAGACTTGGAGGTGCTGATTCTCATCCCAGCCACGTTACACTCAGCAACAAACTGCCTCAGTGCATAATAATAATAATACTAATATGTATATGTTGCTAACCTCTGTTCTAATATTACTCTCTCCCTCTCTGTGTGTGTGTGTGTGTGTGAGAGTGCGTGTTTGTCTCTGTGTGTGTGTAGGTATATAACTGAGCTTCTGGGTGGGGAGGCCTATGTCTCCTGTTCTGTGGTACTATTTTCTCTCTGCCACTTGCATCTCAAGATGGAAGTCTGTGATGAGGACCCTGCATATGTGCTGAGATTTAAGACCAAGTTCAAGGAGGACCTAACATCCCGTCAAGAACAGCTCAACTATACATGGCTCCAGATTGCTACAGTATTGGATCCTCGTTTCAAAGACTTGAAATGCCGGCCAAGACAGACAGGGAAGAGATGTGGACCACACTTGAAGGGATGCTGCAACAACACTCACCCAGAAAGTCTTCACAGGCACATGATGATGGGCCACCCAGGAAGAAAGTCAGCCTTCTGCAAATGGGCTCGGATTCAGAATCAGAAGATGATGAGGTTCAACCTGCCATACACAGGTACAGAGCAGAGCCCACTATTAAATTGGAGGACAGCCCCTTGAGGTGGTGGGCATCTCATTCAGGAGTCCATGAGAAGCTGGTATCACTAGCTGAAAAATTATCTAGCCACTCCTGCAACCACTGTTCCATGTGAACAACTTTTCTCAGTTGCAGGTCACATTGTAAACAAGAAAAGGTCAGCTTTACTTTCGGAAAATGTGAACAAGTTAGTTTGCCTCAGCAACTGGCTGAAAGATGATAAAGCTCAGTAGATTTGAAAGGTGTGCGAACAAAAAGACCAGTTTCAGTGCAACATGTTATAGTTAGGCTTCCTTGAACAACTGGATTAAAGAATGGAGGTAAGATAAAAGGATTGTTCTTTTGGTTTGATTTAAAAGTTTTATTGAAAACATTTATTCCACACAAAAACATAACAGATGACTCAAATTGTGAATGATATAAATGTGGTAGGCCGCTGTTATTATTTGACTACATTTACTACTTTCTGTTCAATTGAATACTGAAAATTGTACGTCCTGGTTAAGAGGAATGCCAAAGAGTAAGCGGTGGGACATTGCAAATACAAATATTATGGTGTGTAGTTTGTTTCAGCTTGATTTAAACCACCATTATTTGGCTGAGTTAATAAACAGACGTGATATGAAAATTATATATCTGTGTCCTATTTTTTATCACTTGGTATGCATAAAAAAATGGTTTGGATTCAGGTGTAGTTGCAAATAGTAATTAATCCTGATTAATCCACTAAAAATCTGATTATTCTGATAAAAAAACTTTAATCATTTGACAGCCCTATTTAGAATGCTTAATTTAAGCAAATTTCATGAACAAGACCCATGCGTGTAAATGAATCTAAAGGGATCCCTTGCTCACCGAGTGCACTGTATTGCCCTCGTTTTGTGTGTGTGTGTGTGTGTGTGTGTGTGTGTGTAGTCCACTTAGAATAAAAAAAAAATAATAATTTTAAATAATAATAATAAAAAAAAATTATTATAATAACAAAAAATAAATAAATAAATAAAATAATAATAAATAAATTAATTAATTCAAAATGAAATTATCAAAATGAATTAATTAATAAAAAATAAAAATAAAAAATTTAATAGCCCTTTAACTTCTGAAAAGATTATTTCCCAACCAGTAAATATTAGCCAGCTATTGGAAAACATTATGCCATCAAGCACAGAAGTCCAATTGTAATACACAAGCGACTCGTGTTGATATACAAGTGTCATATATAAGATCATATAGCAAGTAAGTCAGATGTGAAAACGGCAAAGAATCAAATTCCCACTTGACTGTTATAAATAAAAGTTTAAACTCCACTTCACTATCACTTCACCTGCTCAGTCTTCAAGAGGTACCAGTTTTCCAGGACTACCAGACAAGCCGCACCCCATATCTTCAGCTCTCCATCCATCTGCCATGCCGTGGGGGGACGAACACCCACCCCTACCATCCTTGCACATCGTGTCAACGAAGCTATCAGGCCATGCATTAACAAAAGCGCTTCCATTTACAGTCATCCATGCCCTTATTAAGATGTCTCGTATGGATATCAGCCAAAACAATTTCATGTCTACCATACTTGTATTATGTTGTAAAGATTTGATTTCTAATTCTGTTTGTTTTTCAATTTCAGAGATCACGACTGCCGGCTCCAGAAGCTGACCCCATCCAACCTATTACACTCCCCATCCGTTCCAAATACATTCTCACTCTTCACAAAGGATACATTCCACTCACACGGTCCAAACCTGCCATGTTCACACTAGCCTTTTTGGATTTTGAGAGGTTCTGAACTAACCTTAAACTTAAATCTCTCAATCAACCCCACCATATCTGATCTGATTTCCTTATTGAGCCCCTTCAGTTGGTTTCGGGGGATTTTACCAAGGGCGCGGGTTCACTTCACTATGGCCCCCCCAAATGCTCAAAATGCTCCAAATGCTGCATCTAGCATCCTCTTACACTGCGACACTGAAGCGGCTGTCCAATGCATCATTAAGGGGCGTTCTCATGCCATTAAGGCGCTAAACTTGGACTACAGCCAATAAACAGTTTTGTTCAGTTGCTGAACATGTATCAGGTTACAAAACCAATTGCTGACTCTGTCTCATTTCTCTTACAGAAGTTTTGGCGATTGGCTCCAGAGGCGGATCCCCATCCAACACCAGTCCCACACTATCCAGAAATGATATTGCCCAAAGCCACCCGCTTTATCACACTACGCTAAGGATACCTTTCCACACACACAGTCCGCACCCTTGATGCTATGTACACCCTGGCTTTTTGGCATCCTAAGATGTTCTGAATTAACCATAACATTTAACTT